CCCGCCGCCGCCACCACCAGATGCAGACCGCCTGGCGGCGGCCTCCCGCAGCCTGCGCTCCTGCTCCTGTGTCTCTGGAGAGGCGTTATCGGTTTTATTTATGGCCGTAACATCAGCAAGAGCTTGCTTCAACAGGCCCTGTTGCTCGTACGCCTTGGCACGGCGCTGCAGCGCTCGTACACTGTTGGGCGCTACCTCCAATGCCGATGTGCATTCCTTAACAGCCTCCTTGAACCTGTTTTTCGGTTATTAACAGTTTGACTAGTTAGTTAGCGGTTGGACGTGGACGAAGGGGGGAGACATGGCGAAAGGCCCAAATGTGCTGTGTGTGTGTACGAGTGTGGAGTGCGTAAGACACTGCCGCGTGCGGGAGATGGTGGTGCAGCATCATGTCAAAACATGAGGGGGGGGCAAAACTGTGCCTGCCACACGCGCGCGCGTGTGTATGTGTATCATATGTGTGTGTATGCACTTCCCGCGCACTCGGGTAATCGCTATGGGGGTTTTTTGTCCTCGTTCTGGACCGAACCACGTACGAACAAACGGCCGTACAATACGACTGTCCTCGTTCCAAGCAATACCTACTACAATGACAATAATAAGATTTGTTGGGTAAGACGAACCACTGACGTACAGGTCCGATCACTGATATTCGAGGGGAGAGGGGAGAGACATGGAATCCCCCGAAGGAAGGAAATGACGATCTAATTGAGGAGAAGCTGTTGGTTGAGGTTGTGTTGGGTTGTGCAGAGCCAAGCTCAGGGCGCTGGAAGCGTATGCTTGTTGCGGTCAATTTCCTAAAGATACCTAAATAGGGGGTGAGTGAGGAGGGAATCGTCTTCATGTATTCAGGTGGATCGTAACAGCATGTACGCACGGGCGTGAGGCAGCAGGGACCGCCGGAACACGTACTACCACTCTTTTGCGAAAGCTAGGGAATTTAGATTATTTCAAAATGTTGAACGCATAAAAATTAAAGGGAATATATGGGAACTAGACCGCAGCATGCAAATGCAGGCGTTTGGCACTTTTCGTCACGCGCCTCCTCACGACAATTGTGGCCATCGCGTGTCCAGCGCCAAGGTTGAGCGCACCTCTTCTGGCCAATAAAGCAAGCAGCCTTATTATTGTGGAAATCAGCACGCTCTGGAGCGCCAGCCGGCAGCAGCTTAATAGCCTCGTCGTAAGTAGTCAGAGCCTTCTGGTAGTCGCCACGAGCAAATGAGTTGTTACCCTCCGTTTTCAGCTCCACAATCTTTTTGGCGATCTGCTTAAGACATACATCCATCGTAAAATTCAGAATCAACCTACGTTGCCAGCCGCCGGCTACCACAGCAACGCCAGCCAAGGCAAGGGTCAAATACGAGTTACGCGAAAGTGTCGATTGACAAAACACCCACCTCCGGCTCGACATTTGCAGGTGCGGCAGGGGCCGCTTTGGTTGGCGACGACTTGCTCTTCTTCGCCATTTCGACGCACGTCACGGAAGTTACTGCAATATGCTAAGGCGCGAGTACTTTGATTTTTCCTACTGCAATTCATGGCTGTGCACCACCCAAATACAGTCCTCTAGAGCTATCAAGGTCGTTGGACGTTAGTCGTACATAGGATTTATCAGCCGGTGAGGCTGAGACCTATTGAGGAGAAGGACAAGCAATTGAATGCTGCTACAGACCAGCGGCATACTGTATGTATGCCTTTCCCCTTGTTTTTACCATCGACGGTTCCGGAAGTGGCACTTTAGAAGCCCCTGCAAAGTCATATACCTAATCCAATGGTAATCTAAAAAGCTCGTGATGCGATGCATCACTTTGGAACACAGCTTGCGCAAAGGTTGTAATAATGCTGAGACTCCCTGCAAGCTCGAAATCTTTATCCAGCCTCGGTTACTCCCAGAACTCCATAAGATATTCATTTCGCATTTGAACCATAACGTGGTGCAGCCGTGTCCTCTGTCGCAAGGGCCATGTTTGGAATGCGCCTTTCTGCTATCATTCTGCATCTGCGCTCTGGTCCGTAAACGGTGCGGTGGGGTTACAATCCAACACTTATCCGACTTATCCCCTCCAACCAAAAAACGCTGCGTCTACAGCTCAGCTCGTAACCACAGTCCATATGCCGGACACATAGCACAGAGATACACGCACATAGACACAACACACGCACATAAGGGACACATGCCACTTTGCCGAATGCAGCTCCAGCCCGCAACCTTCAACCACCTGCTCAACTGCCGTCATGTCCACATTGGCGGCAAAGAAACACACACACACACACGAGTAGTATGCCACAATTTCCAATATGTAAGTACTCCATGCACACACACACACACACACACACACACACACACACACACACACAGAGACACAGACACACACACACACATCCCCCTGCACGCCAGGACCAAAACACATCATCCTAACTTCCCGCCCATTCAACGCATCATATCAAAGGAAAGAACCGAATTTCCGGGAATAGTAAAAAGAGGAACAACAGGGTCGCGTCAAGGGTATCGTATCACGTGCCACACGGAAATTTCCTTAAATTCACCATCCCTCCATTTGGAAGAGGAGGACAAAACGATACACGTCACAGTCGGGACAGCCTACGCGGCTGCCTGCTAGCTGCCACAGCGCCGTCGGGTGCGAGCCACAGAAGCACCCACAGCCGCCATCAGCTCAGGGCTGGCTTTCATTCCACTCCGCTTCCTCCCATACTCTCCCGCCGCGCTGCCAAGTCCCAAGAAGTTAAAAAAAAGAAGAGTCAGAACAGGAAAAATCCAAGAGCTGAAGAAAAAGAAGAAGAAGAAGAAGAAGGCGAACTTGTCTCAAAAACACACGTCGTACAGACCTCGTCAGGTCTGACGTCATGACGGTCGCTCGCTCACTCCGGCAGGGGCTGCGAGCCTCGCGTTCGCCCCCTAACCGCCACGACCCCCACCCCTTGAAAACTGTGTTTTCAAGTCAGGAATCGCAGGAAACGACAGAGACACATCCCCTCTCGTCATGTAATTCCAGTTTCTCCTAGTGCCTCCTAGTAAAATAGGTACAAGGTAAAGAGTTTTAAAACGGGCAAAACCTAAAGCGTTCATGCGTACACATGCGTATCCTCAGCGCCTGGGCCGAATGGAGGGCGTCTCGTCCGTCTGCGGGCGGCAGGGCGGCAGGGAGAGGCCACGGGCGGGCGTGTGGGTCCAGGGTATAATAAAGATGGAAACTGAAACCCTGCAACGTCCTTCTACCCTTCCCTCTACTCCCCCAAAAGCACAAAAGAAGAAACTGGAGTTTCCCGAGAGGAGCCGCCGCAACACCCCCGCCCCCGCCCCCGTCACGTCACGTCCGGGGTTAACTCTTCAATACCTTGTCGGGGCCCTACACCCCGAGGCCTGGGACGGCCTTGTCGGGCACACCCACCCACCCACCCACCCGCCCACCCACTCACCCACCCACCCACCCACTCACGCAACCAGTACAC